TGGGGTGGATGGAGTGGGAGAGGGGTGGGGTGGGATGGGATGGGATGGGACGGGGTGAAGAGGGTGGGATGGGTGGGGTGGGGTGGGATGGGACAGGATGCAATGGGGTAGGATGGGGTGGGGTGAGATGGATGGGGTGGGATGGGGTCCTGTGTCAACCCCTCCCTCAGCTCCCTCTCCCCTTTCCATCCCCCCTCGCTCCCCTCTCCCTCCCCACCGAGGGCTGGGTTGCCACCAGGTGCTCCCCGGCCCCAGTGAGATCCCAGTGCAGCCAGGCTGAGCTGCAGAGCATTCCCAGCCCTCACCATGGTGCGGGAATGCTTCCACTTGGTCAGTTTGTTCAGGATGCGCAGGAGGTTGATGCAGGAGAAGAGGTTCCTCCAGCAGAACTGGTTGTTGTCTCCGGCCTCCTGCGGGGAGGACAGGCAGGGTCAGGACAGGGAAGGGAGCAGGGATGGGCAAAGGCTGTGGGGGGATTGTCCAAAGAGTATTCAGGCATGGAATCACCCACTCATGGAATTGGTAAGGCTGGAAAAGCCCTCCCAGACCACCACGTCCAACCATCCCCCAGCACTGCCACGGCCACCCCTGACCATTGTTCCCAAATGCCACATCCGCAGGATTTTTGGGCACCTCCAAGGGTGGGGACTCCAAATCCCCCTGGGCAGCCCCTGCAAAGGCCTGAACACCCTTTCCAGGAAAAAATCCCTCCTGATGTCCAAGTGCCCCTCCCCTGGCACAGCTGGAGGCCGTTCCCTCTCCTCCTGTCCCTGTTGCCTGGGAGCAGAGCCCGACCCCCCCGGCTCCCCCCTCCTGTCAGGGATTGCAGAGCCAGAAGGTCCCCCCTGAGCCTCCTTTTCTCCAGGCTGAGCCCCCCCAGCTCCCTCAGCCCCTCCTGCTGCTCCAGCCCCTTCCCAGCTCCGTTCCCTTCCCTGCACATGCTCCAGCCCCTCAATGTCCTCATCCCGAGGGGCCCAGAACTGACCCCCAGCAGGGATCTGCCATCCTCCCCAAAGCCCCCAGGGGCACAGGAGTGCTGAGGGTGCCAGGGCTGGGTGGGGGAGCCCCGGTTTGCCCTGGGGAGCCCACCAGGACTGGCAGAGCTGGACTCACCAGGCTCTCGGCCGTCAGCTCCGGCAGCTCGTGCACCACACAGTAGGGATAGTCCAGGACAGAGATGCTGCAGGAAAGAGAGGGGGGGGTCCTGCTGATCCCCCAGAGCCCCCACTGATCCATCCCAGACCCCCCTGGCCTGGGGGGCAACGCAGACCCCACCTCCCACCCATGGCAGACTGGCTGTGGTGGGCACTGCCCGCTGTGCCTGCGCCCGGGGAGCGGCTCCAGAGGGAAGAGGAAGCAGAGGAAGAGGAAGAGGAACTCTCCCCACAGCCCATAGGGATGCAGGGGAGCAGCCCCCCCGCCCTACCTGTTCTTGGCAGTGATGTAGGACATGATGTTCTGGTTGAAGAACTTGAGGATGAGCGGGATGCAGTTGGCAAAGACCAGGTGCTGGGCCATGTACTCAAACTGGGGAGGGCAGAAGCAGGTGAAGGGGGACCAGGGAGGGTCCTCCCCATGCCCAAATTCCCCCAAAATGGGGGGGTGGGAGGGGATCCAGACCCCCTAACCTGGTAGATGTGGTTGAGCTTGAAGTGCTTGAGCAGGAGCAGCAGCACGGCCGAGATGGCCTTGACGATGATCTCCTTGTGCCGGTTGACGTCCACGCCCAGCTTCATGCTCTGCAGCACCGTGGTCCTGGGGACACAGGGGGGCCACTGGCAGCAACTGCTTCCCTGGGAGAGGGGAGGGGCTGGGAAGCACTTCCCAGAGAAGCTGTGGCTGCCCTGTCCCTGGAAGTGTCCAGGGCCAGGTTGGATGGCGGTTGGAGCAACCTGGGATAGTGGAAGGTGTCCCTGCCCCTGGAATGGGCTTTCAGGCCCCTTCCCACCCAAACCACTCCATGATTCCGTGCTCCTGCAGCAGGGCAGGGTCACATCAGCCAGGCAGTCCCAACCCAAACCCTTCCTGGTCCCTCCTGTCCCCCCTTCCCTTCCTTTCCCAGCCAATGCCACCCCCCTGCCCCGGGGCACTCACGGCATCTCCTCCGGCAGGACGTCTGCCAGGATGTTGATGGAGTCTGTCTTGGCTTTGGAGGTGGGGGCTGCAGCCAGGAGGATCTTCAGGAGAGCAATCTGGGGAGCAGGGGGAGATGGAGAGGGGAGGGGAGCAGGGATGGGGGTGTGGCAGGGATATAAACATGGGAGGCACCACTGGGAAGGGACTGATCCCAGAGAATCCCAGTGCTCCCAGCTCACCATGTACTGGGGCAGGCTGGGCAGCAGCCCCTGGTACAGGATCTCTGCAGGGACTTGTTCCACTTCCTCTTCCCCCTGGAGCCAGGAGAGACCAGAAAACCTCATCCCAGGAGCCCTGGGATAGGATCCCCAGGGCAGGAGACCCTCAGCCCAGAGAAACCCCTTCCCAGCAGAGCAAACATCCCATCCCAAACCATCCCACACTCACTCCAGACAGTGGGGAGCGCAGGAATTCCTCTTCCATGTGCACCTGCACCTCGGCAATGGACGTGTACTTGTGCTGCAGGGGGACAGGGGGGTCAGCACAGCCCCCTCCCCTCAGCTCCCACCATCCCATAATATCCCTGCTGGATCCCTGTCCCAGGGGTGGCCTATGTTGATGGGAGCTGCTGGACTCAGCTATGGACAATCCCAGGAGCAAAGGAAGACCAAGAAGGGATAAAGCCCCTAAGAAAGGGATAAAGCCCCCCATGGAAGGGATGAAGAAGCCCCTAAGGAAGGGATGAAGCCCCTATGGAAGGGAAAAAGGAAGGGATGAACCCCTGTGGAAGGGAAGAAGCCCCCTAGGGAAGGGATGAAACCCCTATGGAAGAGCAGAAGGAAGGGATGAAGCCCCCTAAGGAAGGGGCTTGGACAGCCTGGAAGAGCAGGGATGGGATGAGAACTTCAGGCTGCTCCCACCCCAGGGCTGAGGAAGGGGGAGATGGCTCAGGAAACCCCCCCCCTGGGCTGTGCTGGGAGCAGGGGCTGGGGAAGGGATGGAGGGAATTCCCAGGTGGACTCACCAGCTTCAGGGTGCGGATGCTCTCGTGGATGGGCCTGGGCAGACCCACCACCGTGTTGGTGTCACTGCAGGAGGGACAGAGCCAGGCTGGGAGCAGAGCTGGGGCACCCAGGGTGGGGCAGGGACCACCCAGGGGTGGGACAGAGACCCCCAGGGGTGGGGAAGGGACCCCCAGGGGTGGGGAAGGGACCCATGAGCCAGCCAGGACTTTGCTGCTGCCACATGGAGGCAACAGCAGCTCCCAAACTGGCCTCTCCCCAAGCTCCCCAAAATTGGCCTCTCCCACAGCCCCCCCAAACTGCCCCCCAACCCTGGCCAGCCCTGGCCCCACCTGCCCAAGGTGTATCCGATGAATTTGCTCCTGCTGGACTCCAGGAACATCTCGATGTCCTTCTCCCTGCAGCCAAAGGGGAAGGGAAAAGTCACCTCTCCCTGTCCCCCTTGGGATGCCACAGCTCCAGCCCCAGGGAAAAGCCTGAGGAGGGGATGACACCCAACCCACCCCCCCAAAAAAACCAGCCATCCAAGTGACCACCCCGCCCCCGCCCCCTTCCTGCACCCCTGCCGAGATTCCCGAGGCTCAGGCTCTTTTCCTGTCCCCATCCCAGCTGTGCCCCCCGTCCCCCCCTGCACTCACCGGACCTTGGGGGCCCAGGGCAGCCCCTTGGGGCAGGTGATGCGGTCGCTGGGGGGGTGCTGGGTGGGGGGGGGCATCACTTCGTCCCTCTCCAGGGGGAAGGTCTCCCCCTCCAGGCTGTTGTCGTCGTCGTTCTCCTCCTCCTCCTCCCGGGAGTCATCGGCTTTGTAGGGATCCCGCTCGTTGAAGGCGTCCAGGTTGTCCTGCTTGATGAGGGCCTGGGGGAAGGAGTATCCAGGGAATGGGCCTGCTCCTGCCCCTGGGAGCCACCTTGTTGATGTCACCATCCCCTCAGCCATGTCACCATCCCCTTGATGATGTCATCATGCCCTCAGTGACATCGCCATCCCCCATTAATGTCACTATGCCCTCATTCATATCAGTATCCCCTCAGTGATGTCACCAACCCCCTCACTGATGTCACTAACCCCCTCAGTGATGTCACCATCCCCTTGATGTCACCATCCCCTTGATGATGTCACCATGCCCTCATGAATGTCACTATGCCCTCATTCATATCAGTATCCCCTCAGTGATGTCACCACCCCCTCAGTGATGTCACTATCCCATCAATGTCACCATCCCCTCAATGTCACCACCTCTTGATGATGTCACCATCACCTCATTGCTGTCCCCATGCCCTTGATGATGTCACCATGCCTCACTGATGCCACCACCTTCTCCCTGCTGTCCCCCTGCTGTTGCTGTCCCTGTCCCCCATTGCTGTCCCTGTCCCCCCATTGCTGTCCCTGTCCCCCCATTGCTGTCCCTGTCCCCCATTGCTGTCCCTGTCCCCCATTGCTGTCCCTGTCCCCCTGTCGCTGTCCCCGTCCCCACCTTGTGCTCCCTGCGGCCGCGTTTCTGCTGCTGCTCGATGAGGTCGGAGGCGGATGCCGGGGGCGACGCCGCCCTCATGTTGCGGATCACCTGGATGCTGTCCTCGGGCAGCGGGGGCAGCCCCAGCATCTCCCTCTTCTCCGCCTTCATGCTCTGCAGCTCCTCAAAGCCCCCCAGGGTGCACTGCAAGGGACACCCCGAGCTGAGCGTGGGGGGCTCCCAGGGCGGCTCTGCCCGCCCTTCCCCAAACCGCTCTCCAGAATCCCAGTCGTGGAATCCTGGAGGTTGGAAAAGCCCTCCAAGGTCACCGAGCCCAACCTGTGCCCCATCCCCGCCTCATCCCCCAGCCCAGAGCACTGAGTGCCACAGCCAGGCCTTCCTTGGACACCTCCAGGACTGGGCACTCCAAACCCCCCTGGGCAGCCCCTGCCAGTGCCTGAACACCCTTCCCAGGAGGGAATTTCCCCAATATCCAATGTGCCCCTCCCCTGGCACAGCTGGAGGTCATTCCCTCTCCTCCTGTCCCTGTTTCCTGGGAGCAGAGCCCGACCCCCCCCTGTTCCCCCCTCCTGTCAGGGATTGCAGAGCCAGAAGGTCCCCCCTGAGCCTCCTTTTCTCCAGGCTGAGCCCCCCCAGCTCCCTCAGCCCCTCCTGCTGCTCCAGCCCCTTCCCAACTCTGTTCCCTTCCCTGGACACACTCCAGCCCCTCAAATGTCTTTCTTGTCCTGGGGGGTCTAAATCCTTCTCCAGGGTGTAAAACAGGAGCTGCCTGTCCCTGTTCCCTCCTTGTCCTTGTGACAGGCGGGAGGGACAGGAGAGTGTCCAGGAATCCACAGCTGGAGTGTCCAGAGCTTTCCCTTCCTGGTTCCCAGCAGGGACCTCGCTTTGGGTCCATCCTTGATACCAGATCCCCACATCCAACACTTCCCTGCGGGGCAAACCCTGGGATTGGGTTTAACAAGGTGCAAACTGAACGCCGGAAGAGGACGGAGCAATTTTACAGCCCGATCCGAGGGCAGAATTCCCTCCTGTGCCAAGCATCCAAGGGCACATCCCACATCCCACGGCCTCTCCTCACCAGCACGGTCTTCCAGAGCAGGAGCAGCACCTTCTTCATGGGGAAATGTGGGGCGTGGCCGCTGCAGAACTTGGTCACCATCCCGAAGAGCATCACGGAGAAGGGCTCGTTGTTGTACAGGGGGGCTCCTGGAACCACACACGGGGGATTTATCCCAGGAATTCCTCATTCCCAGGTCTCGCCCCCACCATCTCAGAGATCCACATCCCACCCCAGAGATAGCTCCCTCTCCTCTCCAAGGCCTCAGAACCCCCATCATTTCTCACCTCTGTGTTCAGAGGACGCAACAGCCCCAACCCCCCGTGTTTTTCCCGGGAAGAGCAGCAGGAAAGGCCGGATGGCTCCCTCTGCTCACCCTTCCAAGCTGAGCACAAACCACCCCAGCGCTGCCAGTCCCCGTTAACCAAGGCCAGGAGGCAAATCCCATCCCGCTGTCCCCCCTCTCTCCAGGCCTGGGCAGCTCCATCCCGAGCTCCGGGATGCTCACCCAGCTCCGCTCGGAATGTTTGCCTCATGCTCTTCCACTCGGGCTTGTCCCCCTCGGCCTCCTGGCGCACGGTCTCCACGATCAGGTACATGATGTTCAGCAGCACCCTGGGGAAAGAAAACAGGGCTTGGGATGAGCTGGGAGGAGTTTGGGAAGCACTGCTGGCACCCAGCATCCCGGGATGGAGATGCAGGGGGTGGGTTGGCATTGCCCAGGTAAGGTTTGGGCTCCTGCAGAGACGTTTTCTGGGCTCTAAACCAGGGAAAACGGCCCTGGACTCACGGGATGAGGAGAATTGTGAATGTTTTCAGGGGGTTTTAGGCTCTAAACGAGGGAAAACAGCCCTGGATGCGCAGGAGGACAAGGTGGATGGTGGATGTTTGCAGGGATTTTGGTTTTCCTGGAATATGCTGGAATGGAATTGATTTTTCCAGTGTTTTCAGCCCACACCACATCCAGATTCCACACCAGTGCTCAGGAAAAAGTCTCTCCAAGTCCAAGCAGGAAAAAAAACTCCTTTCCCAATTTTTCCTGTTCTCACATCCCTGACCTGCCCTGTTCCTGCTGAGCACAAGGGACACCTGTGGACACTCCCGGTGCTCTGGGACCCCTCCAGGGCTTGTCCCAGCTCCCCAAAACTCCTGGAAAAGCCTGTTCCCTCCACCTCCAGCCCCACAGTTCCCACTCCATACCTCAGGTCCGTGCTGTCAGCCAGGGAAATGGCCGGTTTCCTCACGGCACTGGAACACGCCGCGCTGTTGCTGCAGAGGGAAAACAGCCCAGAGGGAATTTGGGGGAATTTGGAGGGATCTGGGGGAATCTGGGAGAATCTGGGGGAATCTGGACTCTGCCACAGGCATCCCATGTGCCAGAGCCTACTCTGGGAGAGACACCCCTGCCAGGAATTCCCAGCTCACAGCAGGAGGAACTTTGGGACTTAACCAATTATTATTACATAAATACAACACAAATCATATTTATATACGTTGCTGTTATATTAAAAATACTATATAAATAAAATATAAAAAGAAAATAGAAATTATTGAATGTATCAGGTCTAATCCTACGTTCCACATCCGCCCAGAACGCTGGGAACTGCTCTGGTGGATGCAGGAATCAGTGCAGGGACCCTGCCCGGCTGCTCCAGGGCCATTCCCAGGGGGTTTTCCCGGGACACTCACTCGATCTCCATGTTGAGCAGCTCCACCAGCGCGTTGAAGGTGCCCACCTCCAGCAGCAGGAAGATGTTGTACCTCATCCAGGCCTGCACCTCGGCCTCGGAGCTGCACTCGCCGAAGGTCCCTGCGGGGAGAACCCGCTGAGCACAAAGCCAGGAGGGGGCAGGAAAGGCGGGAAGTGCCCCCATGGAATCCCAGCCCGGGGAATGGCAGAGCTGGGAGGGCACAGGGACACGGGGACAGACTGCTCTGAGGTGTCTGCTCCCGTGAGGATCATCCCGGGGGGACGAAACCCACGGGGAATGGGAATTATTTAAAATATGGTATATTGATTGTTAATTGTTACACTAAATTAGTACTGGATATTAATTATACTACATATTGACATGTTATGTATTCTTATATGTTATATATGTAATATATTATATACAACACATACTATATTAAATAAAATACATAATATATAAATATGTGATTTTCATAAATTATATATTGCAATATAAACTTCATAATATATTACACATTATGCATAGATTATATAAATATATACTGTCAGAGAATGTAAATTATATTCATCCATGTTCTTATATAATGTATATTACATATAATATACACAACATATGATTGTATATTTGTACAATAATTATAGAACACATAATTGTATTTATCTGGTATACAGTAGATATATTACCATATACAGTAATAACATATATATAATAAATAAGAACACATTATATGCTGTATATTACATACTGTACACATAATTCATGTAATTTATATATGTATATACATATACAGCCTATAATTTTATATATACATATTACATAACATATATAGTAATATTTAATATAATATTTATAAACTCACTATATATTTAATTTATTAAATAATACAAAATATAATATATATTACACTTTATATTATTATAGATATGTCATATTAATATATAACTTATAAATTATATATGTATATATTCCATATTATATATAATTTATTATATATTACATATAATTTAGTTTATAAATATAATATTGTAAAATTTATATATAGGAATAATATATAATGTATACTATATTTAACACACAACAGATATAATTTATTAAATAATATATGATGTAATCTATATATGTTATATATTATGCTATATGTAATAAATGTTCTATGAACATATATAGCTTATATGAATTACATATATGCATATAGTATAAATAAATTTGCAATATAATTATGTATTATATCATTTATATATGGTAATAATATCTATTATATACCATATATAATATACAACATATATATTTTATTAGGATATAATATAATCCTTATTGCATATATATGTGATACAATATATATACTATATAACATTTATTTTATATATAATATTTATTTTATATATAATATATATTATATATTATATTATTATATTAATATATTAATATAATAATATATTAATATATTATATATTATATATAATATATATAATATATTATATATTATATGTATTTTATATATAATATACACAATATATATTATGTGTTATATGTAATATATGTTCTATGAATATATAGCTTACGTGAATTACATATATGTATATACTATATATTAGATATAAACGTATTATATAATTATATAATATATAATTTACACATGGTAATAAAATCTATTCTATATTATATATAATATACAACATATACATTTTATTAAGACACAATATAATCTATATTACATACATGTTATATATTATATATGATACATAAATATATAGCTGATATCAAGAAATTACTCGTATATTTCACCTATTTATTACATTTTCGCTGAATTACGCGCACAAATCCCACAGACCCACATCGTGCCTCCCTCCCTGACCTCCACCCCCCCAGCCCCGTCCCGGCCGGTCGGTGTCACCTTGTGCCACGTAGAGGATGGCCCTGGCCACGCGCAGGCGCCGCTCCCGCGCCGTCACCTCCAGCCCGTCCAGCAGCCGCATGGCGTGGGTGCGGTGCTGCGCCCGCTCCAGCTGCGCCCAGCGCCGCTCCGGCACTGCGGGACACCCGGGAAACACGGCTTGGAAACCGCGGACAGCGACCGGGGGAGGCAATGGGATCCACCCCCATGGGAAAAACCCAGCTTGGAAACCACAGCCATCAACCCAGGAGGGAATGGGATCCACCACCACGGGAAAAACACGGCCACCAACCCAGGAGGGAATGGGATCCACCACCACGGGAAAACCACAGCAGCGGGATGAGGGGAAGGGATCCACCACTATGGGAAAAACACGGCTCGGAAACCGTGGCCACCAACCCCGGGAGGGAACGGGATCCACCACCACGGGAAAACCACAACAGTGGGATGAGGGGATGGACACACCCATGGACAATCCCAAGGGATCCGCCACCACGGGAAAAACAGGGCCAACAACCCCGGGAGGGAACGGGATCCACCACCACGGGAAACTGCAACAGTGGGATGAGGGGATGGGATACACCCATGCATAATCCAAAGGGATCCAGCACCACAGGAACACACAGCAGTGGAATGAGGGGATGGACACACCCATGGACACAGCCAAGGGGTCCAGCACAGCAGTGGAATAAGAGAATGGGACACACCCATGGACAATCCCAAGGGATCCACCACCACGGGAAAGCACAGCAGTGGGATGAGGGAATGGGACATGCTCAAGGGATCCAGCAGCACAGGGAACACGGTGCAGCTGGGAGCAATGGACACCCAGGGATGTGATGGACAGAGGGATTCTTCTGCCTCCCAGATGAGTCATGGACTCATATCCACAGGGATATCCACAGGGATCATCAGTCCAACCCCTGGCCCTGCACAAACACCCCAACAATCCCACCCTGTCCTGGAGCTCTGGCAGCCTTGGGGCCGTGACCATTCCCTGGGGGAAGAACCTTTCCCTGAGATCCAGCCTGACCCTGCCCTGGCACAGCTCCAGCCCTGCCCTGGGCCCTGTCCCTGCTCACACAGAGCAGAGGTGGGAGCTGCCCATCCCAGGAAAGCTGCAGATCCCAGTGAGCAGGAAGAGAGATCCCTGTCCCTCCCCGTGGAACAGCTCTTACTGTGGATCCTGAAGTCCTCCTCGAAGCACTTTCGGTTGAGCAGGAATTCTGGCCCCTCTGTGTAGCTGTAAAGCTCTGCCAAGAGAGGGGAAGCTCCAAAAACCTGCACAGCTGCAACTTGGGAACTGTGGTTTTAGCCCAAATACTTAAAATCCGCCCCCCCCCCCAAAAAAAAAAAAAACCCACCCAGCAGAAGGCTAAAAACATTCACTAAATGTATCCTTTCCCTTTAAACATCAGGTGTTTAAGGATAATGATGGAGCTGAGAGAGCTCCTCTAATTGTCCCAGCAGAGGAAGTCACTGGTTAATTGCCTCATCCCGAGAATTCCTCACCTGACAGCTCTGCTGCCCATTTATCCGTGTCTGCATATTCGAACTCCAGGTCTGGAGACTCGGAATAGCCCTGAAAAAACAGCTCAGTTGCAGAACATCCCAGGGAAAACCCCCAAATCGCTGCAAGCAGCCACAATTCACCTCATCCTCCTGCAAATCCAGGACTGTTTTTCCCGGTTTAGGGACCAGGAATGTCCCTGCAGCAGCACAAATGTTACCGAGGCAACTCCAGCCCATCCCTCCCCGCTGCGGCTCCATCCGGGATGCGCCGCAGGGATCGCCCGGCTGGAGCCACTGCAGCACCCCCAGAACGCCCCAAACACCCCCGGAACGCCCCAAAATGCTCTCAAAACACCCCCCCCAAAACACTGAGGGAGCCCCTACAGCACAGCAAACACGGCAGGAGACGGGGAGGGAATTCTGTGGGATCAGAAAAGGGGTTCCATGGGATCAGAGCTCCCACATTTCCCACAGAATTGGAAAAAACTCGGGCTATCCCTGCCTGCCCCCCCCCATGTCCCCCCCCCCTCCAGCAGGATTAGTGAGGATGGAACTACTCCAAACACTTTGCAGACGTGGGAAAACCACCCAGGAGAAGCTTCAGAGCACAAAATATCAGCTCCCTTCAGGGTGGCATCAACGCGGACCCAGAGAATTTCGGGGATTCCAGCCCTGAGTGGGGCAGAAGTCTCCTGAATTTCGGGGCACCCGGACCCACAGCAACACCCTCCCAAATTTCGGGGCGCCCACTCCTGAGGGAGGGGCAGATCCACAGCAGGAT